GTTAGCTACCGCTGTTCGATAAATGTACTAATCCACTGACCTTGCGAAGATACGAGTACGTACATGTTTGGAGGTGCCATTAAATACCTTTCCCTAACTCCACTAAGCATTTCACTCGAAATTGAACACGTTTTGGCACACAATTTCAGATTTTGTGAAAACTGAAATATTTTCAGAAATGTAATGTGTAACGGTTAACTCGCACATACAACAGAAAGTTTTGGTGTAGAAATTACTAGCAGGGTTTATGGTACACAGGTCAGCGAAATTATTTTGGAAAACCGTATGTCGCCTAGCGAACTCTCTTTACAAGGATTATTGACGAAATTTTTCGACCTTCGGAAGCCCACCGTAGCAGCAATAAATTTCCAAGAAACCGTTACTTGCTAGAATTCTAATTTTTATTATCTCGTCACGCTTTGCCAAGGGTTTTAAAGTGTCATAATTTTATGTTTTCCGCATGTTGATTAAAATTCGGAACGACCCTTAGTTTTATTACGCGTTGTGGTCATTGGCAAAGCTGTTCGGAGTCCCTGCGTCGGCCACTCGAGAGGTGCAATCCGGGCCCGGCGAGCCTCTTGACTTTTATTACTCGCTTTCACTCTGCTAAACTTTTCCTACGCTAAGTATTTTCCAGTTTCGTTTTCCGTCTTTCTGTCCTGTCTCTTTTCCTCTTGCTTTTCTATTAGGGTAAGGCGGTGTATATATTGAAGGGACGTTTTAAGAAAGGTTCTCAGTCTTGTTAGAGACGCGATCCATTAAAGTTCTGTAGTTTTGTAGCTGTAGTAAAGAGTTCTGTTAAACACGCGTTCACGATCGGATTACAAAATGTCGACTAAGAAAGTGACGTTGAATATTCAACAACGCCTTCAAGTGTTGGAGGATTTAAAAACTTTTCCTGTTCGGATTGTTGCTGCGAAATATCAAATACATCCGCAAACAGTTCGGAGAATTAAAAGCAACGAAATTCGCATTCAACAATTTGCCGCGAAGGGTAAAAAGCAGCAAAAACGGCAACGAATAAAGAAAGCAATGTACCCTGATCTTGAAGGACAATTGTTCACGTGGTTCAGTGAAAGAACAGCTCTTGGCGATCGAATAAGCGATATGCTCATACGAGAGAAAGCTGTAGAATTACAGCAAAATAGTGCAACGCCCTCAAATTTTAAAGTGAGTATGTCATGGGTGACAAATTTTAAACGGCGCCATAACATACGTTTAGTGAATGTGTGTGGTGAAAAAGCCAGTGCTGATACAAATGCAGCAGAAATTTTTAAACAACACTTTCAGCAGTTTATAGAAGAGCAGGACATCAACATAGAAAATATTTATAACATGGACGAAAGTGGGCTGTTTTGGAAAGCGCTTCCAACGAAAAGTTTATCCACAGAAAAAAGTGTAGCCGGCTTCAAAGTGAAGAAAGACCGAATTACCTTCGGTTTATGTGCCAATGTTACTGGAACCAATAAAATGAAGCCATTGGTAGTTCATAAGTACAAAAAGCCAAGAGCGTTGAAGCACTCACTGCACAGACTTCCAGTCTGCTACAAATCCCAAAAAAATGCTTGGGTAGACCGTACAATATTCCAAGATTGGGTTGAAAATCATTTTAAGCCCAGCGTCCGCGAATTTCAATTAAGGAAAAACATCACTGGGAAAGTGATACTATTAGTTGACAATTGCACAGCTCATCAACTCTCACCATCCGAGCACGATGGAGACTTCTTTTTGTTAAAATATCTTCCACCGAACACCACATCCCTCCTACAACCGATGGATCAAGGAGTGATTCTGAAAACGAAACGAATGTTTCAGAAAGAAATGTGCCGCTCAATTTTAACGTATGAGGGTGGGGTTAATGAATTTTATGCCCATTATAATATAAAAGACTGCATAGATATTTTGGTGCACGCATGGGCAGAAGTTACGCCGGAAAATATACGACATAGTTGGAATAAAATAATTCCAGCTCCTTCACATATTCAAAACTATTATACAAACGAGAGTGAAGAAGACGGTTTGGAAGATGTGATATCCGTGATCAGTGATGGGCGAATATCACAAGAAGAAGCAATTATTTTTCTGAATACGTGCCGTGCAGAAGAAGAAAAAGTTACACAAAGTGATGCAGACAGTGACAACGAAAGTGAGCAGCACAGTGACAATGAAAGTGAGAACAATGATAGTGAAAACGAACACAACATACAATCACCGAAAGAACAAATAAAATATAAGTTATTGTGTTTAAAATACCATTTAATGAGAGCTAACTGTTTAACAGCAGAAATAGACCAGCTTACGTCTTCATAGGAAAACTAAAATATATTAAGGTAAGGATGAAATTGCAATGTTTTTTATTCCTTATTTTTCATTCAATATTATGCTACCAAATATTGACCGATTTATATCGTGTTTAGCCTCATTTTAATCAGAAAAATCTCCCCCACATGATAGTGAAATTTTTATTAACAAAAAGTAAAAAATAAAAAACTTTCTTCTGTACAGTAGTGTGGTCACACTGACAGGGGGATTTAAACGAAGGTGACGAAGGCAATAAAGATATTCAAAGAAAGCCGCTACGTCTCCGGTTACATTTCGCCTCACTGGTTCAAGGGGGATCCCCCTAGTGGTGGGGATAAAAATGTTACATTTACGGAACAGCTCTTGAAGACATTTATCGAGTTTTCACTGTATAAGGATTTTGTATCATGTCGTAGTTAATAAATATATTTAGTTTATAAATTAACACGGTTATGAGCCCAGCGCAGCACAATATCGCTGCACGAATACGGTTAATAAATTTAGAAGCACGCATGAAGAGTTCGTTTCATATAAAGAAAAAAGTGAGGTTATGTAAGAGTGGCCACGTGTTTGGAAGTAGGTAATTGTGTTAAATAAAAAAATAATAAAGGAAAGAAAATATAACAAGTATGGCAAGTTCGATGCAACCGATTGATCGAATAAATAAGTTAAATGGCAACAATTATAGATCTTGGAAATTTAATATGAAAATGGCTCTAATCCAACGTGAATTATGGCAACATGTAACCGGTGAAACCGTTGAACCAACGGATAAGGAAGCCGGTGAATCGAAAGAAAGTTATAAAAGAAAAGAAGAAAAAGCTTTAGCAGCTATCGCTTTAAGTATCGAACCAGAACATCAAATTCATGTCATGGATTGCACAAAAGCGGTGGACGCGTGGGAAGCATTACAAAAGGTTTTTGAACCGAAATCGAGACTAAGAATCTTACAATTGAAAAAGCAAATGGTTCCGATAAAATTAGAACTCGACAAGACAATGAACTCATTCCTAGCAAGATTAAAAACATGTAGTGACAGTCTCAAGGAAGCTGGGTATGATATAACTGATGATGACCTGGCGTATGCAATGTTGTGTGGGCTACGAAACAGTTATGAAGGAATAATAATGGCATTGGCTAATCTGGACGACTCATAGTTCAAATCATCTGAAATAAAATCAATCTTGTTGAGTGAGTATGAAAGAAGAGAAGTAAAAGAAATGAGTCATGGAGAAGAGAAGAAGGAGGCGTATCATAATGCAACTGAGGCACCATGTAAATTTTATGAGCACAAGAGAGAACATGAACACAAGAGAGAATATGAGCACACAAGAGAAAGCAGAAAGTGTTTTAACTGTGGTAAACAAGGACACACAGCCAGCTATTGTAGATATAAGGTACAAAATGTAAAGCATAACAGCTCAAATCAGCATAAGTACAAAGATACATTTCTATTAGAATTGAATGGCGTGCAACTAGATAACTCTTGGTTGATAGATAGCGATGCTACATACTATATATCTAAACACAGCATTGGTTCTCAAATTATAAATCTATAACAAGTGAAACAATTTATTCAGCTAGTGGTGATGCCATAAATAATCTTAAAGCAATAGGTATAGGTGATATTATGAGAGTAACATATGTGAATCATGACGTATTAGTATAATCTTTCACAATGTATATCATTGTTATCTGTGTCTCAAATAGAATGTAAGCAAAAGCGTTTAATTATAGATAATCATAGGCTAAGAATAGTGAATAAGAAAACGAACATGATAGTGGGGGAAGCTATTTGTAGAAATGGATTATACATTGTCAAGGCGAGAATTGTTGTGAATTGTGCAAATCGGGTTGTGATGCATATTGCTAGTAATAAATTAGAAGAAAGCGATAAGTGGCATCAAAGATTTTGCCACGTAAGTATGCGAAGTATACAAGAACTAGCAAATAAAGGGCTGGTGAGAGGATTAGAGGGAGTTAACGTAAAAGATATACATGGCAATAGCTGTAGTCTTAGTAAATCCGTAAAAGTACCATGTAAAAGTATTGGGGGCATACAAACAAAAGCAATATTAGCCCTTAACGAACGAATGCCGCCAAACTCGCGACATTATAAATATTCTGTGGCGGCGACAAGCTGGCGCCACGTCTCCGCCATGTGTTTAGTTTTAGTCTAAGGTATGTTTGAATGAATGGATCGGGTTGCGTGCTGTGCGCCAGCGTCGAGAGGATGTTTGGACGATTGGGTCGAGTGTCGCGTAGGGTGATTGTGTTTGGTTTGATTTCGAGTGAAGGCGAACTGTGAGTGAGAAAGAATGATTTTCGTGAGAATGCGTGAGCGTGCGAACGATGAGTTTGGTAAGCAGTTCTGTCAGGGAATTGGTCGAGAGCGGTCACGCGGGCTACGCGGGTGTACGACCGTCTCTCGTGAAATAAAGAAAGTCCGGTAATGAATTGTGCTTCACGTTCTTTTTGTTTCCCGTCACAACCACCTCATTGGTGACCCCGACGTGATACTTGCGGGAGTGATCAGAACGAATTTTGCGGCCGCATATCATTCGTTTGCGTGGAGGCAGTGTATCGCGTGAATTCGGACGAGGACACAGTTTCGCCTAGTGGCACTTGGACAACGTGTTTAGTACGAGGAGTGCTGGCGTGTATTTTTGTATATATTTTTTTGTTTTCCGTAGTCTGTAGTAGTGTTTAAGACAATGACAACGCCGCCCGGACCGTTCCCGTCAGGGAGTGACGCGCTCACAGTGAATCGCGTTGCGGTGAAGATCCCGGAGTTTTCGCCGACTGACCCAGAGTTATGGTTCGCCATGGTCGAAAATAGCCTGGACGCGAGCGGGGTGACAACCGAGGCGACGAAGTTCGGTTATGTGTTGGGAGCGCTCAAACCGGAATATGCGGCGGAGGTCCGCGACATCATATTGGCTCCTCCAGCTCAGCCGTTCACCAAGCTCAAGGCAGAACTCATCAAGCGAATGGGTTCGTCGCAGGAGCAGAAGACTCGGCGTTTGCTGGAGCACGAGGAGATAGGCGACGGTAAACCTTCGCAGTTTCTACGCCACCTGCGATCTTTGGGGGGAACGACCGTTTCGGAGGAAATTCTGCGTATCCTGTGGGTGGGCCGACTACCCTCAAATATGCAGGTCGTTTTGGCAACGCAGCGGGGCGTTGAACTCGACCGAGTTGCAGAATTGGCCGACGCGATCGCCGACACAATGGGCCCACGCGCACAGGTGGCTGAGGCCGTTGCGGGCCCCTCCGCACCGCAGTCTGCAGGAAGGGGCGATTTCGAAGAGCAGATATACACGCAGATAGCGCAATTAACGGCCACGTTTCAGCAGGAGCTCGCCGTGATTCGGTACGAGATGAACTCGGGTCCGCGCAGTTTCGAGCAACGACGAAACGCTCCAGGCCGAGTGCGACCGCGATCGCGATCCCGAGAACGCCGAACGCAACAACGTGGTGGGAAGTGTTTCTATCACTTTAAGTTCGGGGCGAACGCGCTGCGTTGCGAATCCCCGTGTAATTGGTCCGCATCGGGAAACGCGTCGGGCAGTCGTTGATGACGGCCAGCGATCATTGCCCGTCGTCGCGCCGTTTGTTCGTTACCGATCGGGTGACGAAAACGCAGTTCTTGATCGATACCGGTGCCGATCTGTGCGTGTTTCCCCGATCGAAGACTCGCGGATTCCGCGAACGGACGTCCTATGCATTATATGCGGCAAATGGGTCGGAGATTGCCACGTACGGGACAGTCGCGCTGAGCCTCGAGTTCGGGCTCCGCCGCGCGTTCGTATGGCGGTTCGTGGTAGCCGATGTGTCGAGGCCGATAATAGGCGTGGATTTCCTCGCGCATTATGAACTATTGGTGGACGTGGGCAAGTGCAGGTTGTTGAACCAAGTGACGTCGATGACAATGCCAGGACGCTCAGTGCGCGGGTGCGGGCCGTCGGCGCCCTCAGTAAAGACCATTTTTGGCGATTCGAAGTTCCACGGGTTACTGCAGCGGTTTCCGAACATTACGCGACCAGTGGGAACACCCGCGGAAGTGAAACATGGAACGGTTCATTACATTCGTACCACGACAGGACCGCCCGTGGCCTGCAGGCCCCGGCGTCTCGCGCCGGACCGTTTGAGGCACGCTCGGCAAGAGTTCGAGACAATGATGCGTCTCGGCATCACGCGACCGTCGGAAAGTGCGTGGTCGTCGCCGCTCCACATGGTGCCGAAAAAGGGACAGGACGCTTGGCGACCGTGCGGGGATTACCGGGCGTTAAATGCGCGAACAGTGCCGGATAGGTACCCCGTGAAACATATTGAGGATTTCGCTCACGCGCTGCAGGGAAAAACGGTGTTTTCCACGTTAGATCTGGTGCGCGCGTACAACCAGATCCCAGTGGCCGCGGAAGACATTGCGAAGACCGCGATAACAACACCGTTCGGACTATTCGAGTTTCCCTGTATGTCATTCGGGTTACGAAACGCGGCACAGACGTTCCAACGTTTTATCGACGAGGTGCTACGCGGGTTAGACTTTGTGTACGCGTACATCGACGATATTTTAGTGGCATCTTCGACAGAAGAGGAGCACTTGCGTCATTTGTCAGAGGTGTTTGCGCGTCTCGACAAGCACGGCGTGACCATCAACGCGGCAAAGTGCAATTTCGGCCAGGCGCAGGTCAGATTCCTGGGGTACGCTGTATCGGCCGGAGGTACCAGCCCGTTGGAGTCTAAGGTGGAGGCAATCACCAACTACCCGCAGCCGACCACCGCCAAGCAGCTAAGGCAATTTTTGGGTATGATAAATTTTTATAGACGGTTCATGCCCGGGGCTGCGCAGGTACAAGCGCCTCTCAATGACCTGCTGCACGACAATATCAAGGGTAGCGCCAGGTTGGAGTGGAATGAGGAAGCCGTCGCGGCTTTCGCCGAAGCGAAGAAAAGCTTAAGGCGGGCGGCGTTGTTAGCGCACCCGAGGGACGACGTGCCACTCGCTCTATTCTGCGACGCGTCCGATTTTTCAGTCGGAGCGGCGCTGCAACAGCGTAGCGGAGGAGATTGGCAGCCGTTGGCGTTCTTCTCCAAAAAACTCAGTGCCACCGAACGGAATTACGGCGCATACGACCGGGAGATGCTAGCAATTTATTTGGCAATTAAGCATTTCAGACACATGGTGGAGAGGGCGGACTTTCACCGTCTACACAGACCACAAACCCATCACATTCGCTTTCCAGCAAAAGCCCGAGAAATGTTCTCCAAGGCAATTCAGATACCTGGATTTCATCGGACAGTTCACCACCGACATCTGCCACATCGCCGGGGAGGAGAACGTCGTTGCCGACGCGTTATCCAGGTTGGAGGAAGTTGCAGAACCCTTCAACTACGCCGATTTGGCAGAATCTCAGCAGCACGACGCGGAACTTCAGGCGTACGCGCGCGGGGAGATTAGGAGCGGTTTGCGTTTTGCATGGATTCGCCTACCCGGTTCGAACAGCAAAGTGGCCTGTGACGTGTCATCGGGAACTTCGCGACCGTTCGTCACGAGGCCGTTCAGACGAGCCGCCTTCGACTCAGTGCATCGCTTGGCGCACCCAGGGGTTAACGCGACAGTGAGACTTGTGACGGAACGATACGTGTGGCCGTCCGTCAAAGCCGATTGCCGGAGTTGGGCTCGCGGGTGTGTTCCGTGCCAGCGTGCCAAGACAAGCAGGCACGTTTCCGCGCCGCCGGGAAGTTTTAACGCGCCGAACGGAAGACTCGAACACGTGCACATAGACATTGTAGTTCTTCCGGTCTCAGAAGGGTTTAGGTATTGTCTGACTTGCGTCGACCGATGGACGCGTTGGCCTGAAACTTTCCCAATTAGGGATCAAGAAGCTTCGACCGTGGCGTGCGCCTTTTATGAGGGCTGGATTTCCCGGTTCGGGACCCCGCTGCGCGTGACGACCGACCAGGGTCGACAATTCGAATCGCGTTTGTTTCAGGCATTATCCCAGCTGACAGGTGCAACCCACTGGCGGACGACGGCCTATCACCCGGCGGCAAATGGAATGGTGGAGAGATTCCACCGCCAATTCAAGGCAGCAATCCGCTGCCAGCAAAACGCGCGCTGGACGGAGGTTCTTCCCACCATTTTGCTGGGCATCCGCGCAGCCTGGAGGGAGGATTTGCAGTCCACCGCAGCGGAGTTGGTCTACGGGGAGACGTTGCGTCTACCGGGGGAATTCCTGGCACCACGTGGCGGAGAGTCGCAGCCGCTACCAAGGGATTTCGTCGCGAGATTGCGCGAGCATTTCGCGACCCTCACCCCGACGCCTGGCAGCAACCACTCAACGAAACGGGTTTTCGTTTTTAAAGACCTTGCTACGGCGGAGCATGTTTTCCTGCGGAACGACGCTGTCCGGGGAATTCTCCAGCCGCCGTACGACGGCCCATACAGGGTCCTCAATCGAGGGGAGCGGACGTTCTCCCTAAGCATCCGGGGCAAGCCGGTTACCGTCACCATAGATCGTCTGAGGCCAGCGTACTTGCTGGCGGCAGATCCAGCACCGCTGACCACGGTCAGAGCAGCGCGGCCAGCGTCACCTGGACAGTCCGAGGGACTACCATCACCCGCACCGATCGAGAGCACAGGGCAGCCGCTCCGCTCATCGCCGTCATCGCGGGGGCTGGCGCAGCCGCCTCCCATCCTAACGACAGCAGATGCGGGCATACGTATCACACGGGCCGGAAGAAGGGTTCGATTCCCGGACCAATTGCAAGTTTCGTGATTGAGTCAATCACTGGCGGGGGGGGATGTGGCGGCGACAAGCTGGCGCCACGTCTCCGCCATGTGTTTAGTTTTAGTCTAAGGTATGTTTGAATGAATGGATCGGGTTGCGTGCTGTGCGCCAGCGTCGAGAGGATGTTTGGACGATTGGGTCGAGTGTCGCGTAGGGTGAGTGTGTTTGGTTTGATTTCGAGTGAAGGCGAACTGTGAGTGAGAAAGAATGATTTTCGTGAGAATGCGTGAGCGTGCGAACGATGAGTTTGGTAAGCAGTTCTGTCAGGGAATTGGTCGAGAGCGGTCACGCGGGCTACGCGGGTGTATGACCGTCTCTCGTGAAATAAAGAAAGTCCGGTAATGAATTGTGCTTCACGTTCTTTTTGTTTCCCGTCACAACCACCTCAATTCTAAAAGAATCGAATGCCGCCATATAGGCAGCATGACGTGATATTTCAAGAAATCTGTATGGTTCGATTTTCATTATGGACGCAACAATTAAGGGTGATCGGCAATTGTTTTTTGACGCGCTCTGGAGCATTCCTCTCCTAACATTGAGCGAAAATACATCGTTTTGTATACGGTTGTAGCGGCCATTGTATAGCCACTATGCCCTTGCCAAAGTATGAATGGGAATGGAATGTAAGGATAGTTTTAAGCTTTCTATTTTTCCATTTTCCCAGTGTCTCGGGCGAGCCTGGTCGTCCTGTAAACACTTGGCGACTAGAGCCGTGCGAGGCGCCTGTTTTCCCTCAAGGTTTCGCCTGGGCCTTGGACCACCCTGGTCCAGGCCCGGCGAGCCTCTTTACTTTTATTTCTCGCTTTCACTCTGCTAAACTTTTCCTATGCTAAGTATTTTCCAGTCTCGTTTTCTCTCGCTTTCCTATTAGGGTAAGGCGATGTATACAGGGTGGTTGGTAACTGGTGGTACAAACGAAAAGGAGGTGATTCTACGCGAAAAAATAAGTCGAAAATATAGAATAAAAATTTTTCGTTTGAGGCTTTGTTTTCGAGAAAATCGACTTTGAATTTTCGCAAAGTACGCCTCATTATAACGGATCTCACTGTAGATCGTTGTCTCGATTGAAGTTATGTTGATAAACACTTCCAATGTCACGGAAGTGTTTTCCTACCTATTATCTCACTATCCGACTTTTATCGCTAAACACTATCAGTATCGATTAGACTACCATCATGTCTACATACAACAATCGGGAATATACGGACATGATACTTTCGTTAGGTGCGTGTGATGAAAACGCATCAGCCGCAGCTAATCATTACAGACACCGGTATACCAATCGTCGACATCCTGACAGACGACGAGTTATTCAAAGAGCAGAACGAACCCTCGGCGAATATGGTTCTTTTGAACAACTTAGACGACATGGTGGTCGTCGCCGATGCGTTAGTGTGAATGTTGAAGAGCAAATACTAAAGGACGTGTTGCAACATCTTGACATACAGTCGGTCACGAAAATATTCGGACACCACTATAGTTTTGACTATTATAGTCCGTACTTCAGAAATGTAAACAATGAGAACAAAAAAAGGTTTCACGTATGTTAATATGCAGTGTGTAGTTTACAAAAACGTAAGAAATATTTATTTATGATACGTGATTACATAAATAATACAAGAAAAACAGAAAGTACACTCATTTTCATGTCACAGAAATATTCGGACACTTGCTGTACTCCTCAAGTTTCCAGGTTCCAAGAACTGACTGAAACAATGTTTGTAAACATATAATTCATACTGTTTAAAGATTGCATAATGCCGAGCGATTATCCTCGGCCGCAATTACCGTTAATCCTGTTAACGTACAATAAGCAAGAGATTATCTCTAATAAGATTTGTATAGCGAACGGTGATTGAA